CCCAACGCCGTAACCGGGCACCCCCATCGGAATCTGTGACCTACCCGGTCGCCTGCCAGCTACTAGTAACGTTAATATTATATCATCTTCTATCCAATGTTCAATAATTTATTGTCAAATAGGCAACGATCGGACAACCAACAAAATATGTTGAATTGATCCACAACGATAAATTTAATGATCTATAACGTGCACACAATTCCTGCTGGCCCATTTGTAACATCGATGTCGAACGAGTGAGAGTTTAATACCAAATGAATTGATCTTCTAATTGAGTCATTGATATTTTTATGCTGACGCAACGCATGTTTCTCATAGATAAAAAATCGAATAATGTTAAAAATCGGTGTTTATTTGAAAAAATAGAGATTTTGTTGAGAACCTTACATAATAAATACGACACCGGCTATTGTAAATGGGTTTTTTATTCGTACACACATATGTTATATTTAAAAAAAACAAATCATACAAATATACGTTGTAAGTACCTATTCTAAAAAAAGCTATATATACATATATTAATATATAATTTGTTTCACAGTGGGCAGGAGAAACCACAGTAAAGCCAAAAGACACGCCAAAGACAACCGGCTAGGTTATTAACCAGAGTAAATTATAATATTTGTAGATGAATTCTATAGTAGATTAATCCTATTATCGGGATTGTACACCATCTCATTTTTACAACTTGCTGAACCGTTATAATAACAGAAAGTGTTAGAATTATCTGTAGACTTTAATTAGTTATGCCTAAACGTTAGGTCATGTTAAACTAATCACCCGGTACATTTGTAATAAAATAAAATAAAAATGTATTATTTTTTTTTTAATTTCAGATGGTGGTATTTTCAATAGAATAATAATAATTCAAAAGTAAGTTACTTAGTATTGTTAGTATATTATATAGTAATACGAATATTACTCAACAGATTGCATATTAAAAACTTATTGCATACTAAACCGATTGCATATTAAATACATTATTATTTTTGTATAACAAAAAATATATTTTTTTTTTTTCAAGACACCTTGATTATTATTTTTATCGTTAATTTAGATCACTGGAGTTAACGTTTGAATTACATGTTACCGCGATTAAGGACTGTTTCCGTGAAACACCCAAATTAATATTTTTATTGTTTAGTGCCATGTTCAACACCTTTCCTATTAATGGACTTATAATTTTATGATTATCTCAATCGAGTATATCTAAAATTTATCCAATGAATTGGTTGGTTTTTTATGTTCTGTTAGAAATTGCCTTATAATAAAATCTGTCATAAGTGTAAGGAGGCTATTTGCCCATCCGTTCTAACTTAGCAGAAATAATAAAATTTTCAGAATATTAATTTGTTTAGCGTCCTAATACAATTTATTAATAAAAAAAGAAAAGCAATCAGATTCTCGTTCTAACATCCTTGTGTTAATCAATTCCAAGCCTAACAAGATATATATAACGTGTATATATATATAAATATTTTCATAAAATTGGTATAGCAAAGTGGGACAATAAAAGCATGAATAAATCCGTAGATCGGTAAGCTTCCTTTTAAGCATAAAAAGTGGCCCTTCTTAGGCGTTCAATAAGTGAGTAATATACAACTCGAGCCGGCAACTCTAACAGAATGGCGAACATATTATATTTATTTATATATATATATATTTTTTTATACGCTACATATTATTTAAACTATTATTAAATATGTATGTATTATAAAAAACAGCATTTTACTTATTAACTTATAATTTTAATTTTTTTTTTCTATAGGCAACACTCGGAACCTCGCCAAGATTGCCACATTTATAGTTATTTATTTACTTCTAAATTTGTATATATATATATTTTTTTCTAAATAAAAGTTACTTGGTTATAAGTCATTAATCACAACTGATTTAATTATTTAAATCCTTGAACAACTATTAGTGCCATTTCTTTCATTTGCTTTTAGGAATGTTATAAATTATAGCCAACACGGCTTTACTAAAGGTAAATCAATAGAAACTAACTTATTATGTTTTCATAATGTTTTCAAATTCCATTTTCAAAAAATTGGAATGAGGCGTACGTGCGAGATGTATTCGGGATCTTGAGAAAAATACGAATGAACTATGAAAACGAATTAGGTAGATGTGGATTTTTGGTTTCAGTTTTTTTTTTTTTAAATTTATTAATAATTCTCGCCTTTTTTGTTGTTAGTATTTATATAAATATATGTACATAGTGAGGGACAGAAGATTAAAAAAATAACGCACGTACAAGATACGAAATATCTAATAATGGTATACAGAACGTGCACAAAAAGACCCAAAAATGTTTGGATGTCAATGTGTGTTTGGCACACTCTGTATATTATATCATCTTCATAACCAAAACAAAAAATAAAAGCCACCACTTCGGCGCCAGAGCATAGACAGACGGAAGGGCGAGGAGTGGCTACGGGTGTCCCCAAATTGTTTTGACTAGAACAATAATAAATCTCCAAAAATTCGTCGGTAACCGATGCGAATTATTTCAATAAAAAATATATAAATATATTTGTATACATTATTTTTAAACAATTATTACAGATTATTTAAATTAAAGTCTATTTTTTTTAATAAATTTAGAATTTGTTAATCGTACAGTTTTTTAAAAAGTATAAATACTTAAATTCATTTATATTTTATAATAAAAACTAATAGGATAGCATCAGCAAGTTACATATTCTTATAATAATATCATTCATGTACGTTTAAATTATACAATTGGAATAGTAAAAATAAAAATAACAGGAAAAAAACGTTGGATATAACGTTGTTTTGTTTTTTTTGTATTCTTTTATCATGTATAATTATTATTTTAGTTTTATACGTATTTAGAATATTATTTTAAATCTATAAAATTGTAATTTAATTCATTTATTTTGTTAATAATCATATTATATTTCAATAACTCTCTATCTCCAACACAAGCTTAGCTTAAAGGAGATAGATAATCGAAAATGTTAACTTTTATAATAATTTGTGTATATATTTTTCTCTTCGATTAAAAAAAAAAAAAAAAAATACCTAAAATGTTTGTAACAGCACAGGTATATGCTATTATCAATCGTCATTCAAATATAATAATTGATGTTTAAACTAATTTTTTGTCAGTATGTTTTCCAGGTTCCATTATGTCAAGCTTAATTTGCCACTTTGATTTATTCAGTTCAAAAAAAATATACAAATGAAGCAGTAATATACAGTATACCTTTTATGTAGATGCCTTTTGGCTGTCGATTTTTAAAATAATAACAATAATTATAAACTATGGCTGTAGGCCTATACAACCCACTCTTATAGTAATTATGACACTTAGGTATGTAAAAATATAAAAAAAAATAGAAACATTAAATCGATTATTATATTGAAATTAAAATTACATTATATACATGGTACAAACGACCACATTGTATTTCAAGTCACTTCGTTTCACATTTGGTTGCACGTGTAGCTTGCCTAAAAAACAGATTTTTGATAAAGTTGTACATTTAAGATTTATCTATGGACTAATTTTCAGACTTTAAACTCGAAAAACTTCACCAATATTTACCCATTTTAAGAAAAATAGTTTATGAGCATTTTTTGGTTAGCAAAAAAAGGGAAAATATCACTTTGGCCGTTGTCTTTTTGTAGCATTTTGTGGATGGTCAATTCTAAAAAAAAAAAGCAAACATAAGTATATATTATACATCAAATAAGCATTGAGTGTCGCATGACAAAGCTTCAAACATAAAAGCACACAAGAAACAAAAATCTGTCTAGCCAATTAGGAGTTTGAATACTTACACAATGACAGAAGAAATATTTATATATATATATAAAGACATAATGTTAGTGTTCACAATTTTTTCGAATGACTTTTCCAAAACGTACAGTGGGTGTTAAAAATGCCGTCTGAGTGAGAGTTTTGACTAAATCAAATAAAAAAATGTGTAGGTAAATTACTTAGCAACTTAGAATATATTGGCCGGTCAATATAATAAACAAATATTATTCAATCACAAATTTCACATAGAGCTACCGATTACAGTATACAAAGTCAATGAGATTTTAAGAATAATTGCGTGGAGGAATAAAACAAATTTATAAAAATGATGTCAACAATTCTTTTTTTTATAAAAAAGTACATTTTTTCAAATTTTCTCCAGGCCCAGTCAACCAACTTAACCTTGTCATAATATGATTATGCCAATATTTAATTTAATATAAATCGTTTTTATGAACAGATCAATTAGATGTATTCCTTGAGGGCTAGTAGGGAGGGCCAGATATAATAATATAATTTTTATTTATGTTAATTATTCTTTCTTTCGAGTTCTTTTACTATTTTTATTGTTAAATTTAGTATAATAATTAATTGAATTACATGTTTTTCCACATTTATGCTTTTTATGGCATTTTATTTAGACATATTAAGTTAGGATTAACGTGTCCTACTTAAATAAAATGGCCGGAGATTAAGAAATTGGAATTTCATTAATCTATACACATAAATACCTAGTAGGAATACTTAATTCTTTGTTGTATAATAGTATGGTCCATAAGAGATGTTCAAAAGTATATGTATAATATTTTATTATAATTTAAAATTATAATAGCGTTTATAGGAATAATCCATGCATATTTGATTGTATAAAAGGACTGACGACATTCCGCATAAGCACGGTATGATATTCGTTCGAAAATCGACTTAAAAGTCTACTAACGGAACTCGTAGCCAACTTTCTTGTCAAATGTGTACACTACTAGAAGAAGATAATAATTTTATGAGTTGGGAAAAATATTTTGTTTAATTAGAGTGATCCAATGTTGATATGCTTATAAAATAACATATAGACATTAGTTGTATGTGACCATTAATTTGAATGTTATATATATTTATTAAGCAGAAAAAAATTATAGTAACATATAATAATATATAAAAAAATCCCATTAGATCCGTATAGAAATTGGCCTTCGGGCGAGTGATGGCACTATTAACGACGCAAAAACCGTGATATCGACCACGACTGTTTTGGGCCGGCGTTGAAATCTACTTCAATAGGTGCCACTAATGTTATACGTTCAAACAGCTACAAAAAAAAAAGTTTTTAAAACGGTTTAAAAAAAACACTATTAGATTAATTATACTACTTCGTCTTTTTTTGAAGTTAGAACGGCAGTAACACGTATATACACTATCGGTCTGGGATCAAATTTCAACAACTGCCACGAACGGGCCGACTTCTTAGATTTATCCACAATAATTTCCCAATCTTTATCATTGACCGAAACATGTATAGTGTAACCACAGGCTCGGCCTTCGCCATCATTAAGTAGCATCCTATAAATAATTTTAATACTCATATAATCCTGATGTTATTGCCAGAGTCAACCATAAATTATTTTTCAAACAATAAAAAGTTGTGTTCCAAGCGTAAACAATATGACAATTAAATAATAGAAACCAAAGTACATGTTAAATGTTATTTAAGCGATTACCTCATTGAACTAAGCATATACGGTTGGGCGAGTTGAATTTGTAAACAATCTGGTTGTCTGATGACTATGGCCCAATCCATAGATGGTAAAGTAACATTGTACTTTGGTGCTAATAGGATTTCAATCAGTACATTAGAAAAATATGTTTTTGTTTTATATTAATCAAGGAATGAGTGAGTATTGTCCTTACCCACTAATCCGTTTTTGATTTCCACCAAGTGCAATTTTTCCGTATTGTACATGACTTTCAAAAAATTAAAACTCTTATTACTAGTATTATTGGTGCCAACAATACGGATGTACCTAACAAATCTTCGGATAATCCACAAACGTTGAATTGACCGACAATGATAATTTGAATGATCTATTACACGCAACCAATTGTGGCTATCCATCGATACTTGAATGTAATAAGTGTAAGATCTAAATAATCAAATAATTCGATCAAATGAACGGTCGGGTAATTTTTTATAAACAAAGTTATAAAAGGGCAATTTTTTTTAAATAGTTCGATGCTTAAACAACATTTTTTTGATTATGGATAAAAAAACCCTATTTTATTTGAGAATAAATTTAATTCTTGAATTATCAGAATTATGATTATTGTATGATATTATTTGTGATAAAAATTTATTAATTCACATTTTTATTAAAATAAAATTATATTAAATCTTTGATTAGAAATATTGATAAGTGAACCATACTTTGCTTGTTTGTCGCTTAACTCCATTTCAATATAGTTTATATTCGATGGATGATTCAACATAATCATGGTACCGCCATCAATTTGAAAATGCTCTTTAGGTGTATCTCCAGCGAAATTCACATTAGGTTCTAAAGAATATAGTAGTTGGTACTAACATAATTTGCTAAATAAAGGAATAGGCTTACCTAGTCGTCCTTGATCTTTAAATTCTTGTGGGAGGGACTCTATACTCAATTTTATGACATCCAAAATACTCGAATCCGAACTAACCAGCTCTGATCGCCTAACTTCTGACAGTTCTTCATCATCCATAAGCTGATATCTGACAGCTGATAAAATTTTGGTTTTAGCTTCAGCAACAATTTCGCCTTTTTTTTTTTTTTATCCAGCGACATACCGCACGGAATATATCCAATTCGTTAGCATACGCCGTGTCACGATTGAGAATTAGAAATAATGCTTCCTAAAAAAAAAAAACTCTGTCACAACTGGTTACCTAACACGAGAAATACTGATATTTATTATGGAAATATCGTTACGGGCGTCAAAGAAAGAGAATCTTCAGATTGCAATACGTCCAAAGCATGAATGTCGATAAAATTGAGTGATTCGATTTCGAGTTCTTTGATTTGATAGTAAAGTGCCACAACAAACAACGAGCTTGCATTGTGTTCATCGATTTTACTCAGTAAATACTCGGACAGTGAAAATTGTAAGTTTGAAAAGCGATATACATTCGAGAGAATTAATAATTCCACAATAACTTTACTCTAAAAATTTTTAATAAAACATGTGTATTTGGACAATCGTTTTCTGAATAATATTTTTTTTCTTCAATTTAACACATAAATTACAACCAATTGACCGAATGATCCTTAAAAAAACGGACAACCTTGAAAAAGGTACTTTTTTGGTCTTTAAATACCGGTCATCTAAGTCGACTATAATTTACCTGTAGAGTACATAAATCCACTCTACCAGAATAAATATATTTAAGAAGAACTTTGACTGAGGTTGCTGATCCTTCTTTTATTGGCACCTCCTTTAGACGGGAATCTTTATGATCTCCAAACAGCAATGCGCTAAAAAATATACACAATATAAGTACAAAAATGCATTATATTCGCTACAACCAGTAAGACACATTGAATGAGATACAACAAGGGTGGTTTCACACTAACTCTCATTTAAAATTTACTCTCGTTTAATCTGAGTTGGTTAGATCATATTGATCAGCTATAAAATAAGTAATACGATCAGTTTAAACACTTACTATACCTATTGGTTAACAATAAACGGTTTATATGATTAATTTAATATTAGACAAGTAAACTAAACATTATACCTTTTCTTTTGTATGACTTTTACAAAACATAAAAAATCTAAAGCCACCCAATGCCCATGTGTTTTTTTTCAAAAACACTAAGGCTAGGTAATTAGAAAATTGATGAAAAAAATAACAAAACTATTTAGAAAAATATAATTGACACATTTGTATATGTTATGCTTATAAAGGTATTATTACTGAGAGAATAATATACATAATGAGAAGATTTAATTACCTGAAATAATCACTGCGTGAGGCTAACACAATACGATGGGCGTGAAATCGTTTTTTTATCTACAACTAAAACAACATCAGAATACCTAAAAAAAAATATTGAAATATATAATTAATACACTTATGAGTACTAAACATGAATAATGATCTATGTATAATATTCGCTCCAAGATAAAAAACTTTTACTTTATATAATCAACTAGTGGAAGAACTAAATCATATGTGTAAATCTAAAGTAATAATAAGGTAACGATTCCTAAAGAATGAGTTAATTCACTTGTCCTTGTAACTCTACTGAAAAATAATGATGCCATTAGATGATAGTCGCAGTTAGCAAACTAATTATTCAATTTCTTCTATAGTTCTTAAACAGCAAAAGGTAGTAATTAGACATGGTAAGAAAATAGTAAAACTTAAAAGATATTTATGTTAATTGTTGATAATTTTTATGATTTGAATATTTGTATCTTTTATCTTTTTCTTGTCCTTCATTAATATGTTTTATTTTATTACCTTATTTGTTTTTATATGTGATTATATTATATTTTATGTCTAGAATGTTTTGTTTATGAGAATTATTTTAATTTACTAGATTGTATTCTTTTTTATTTTTTTAGAGGGCATGTTAAAGTAGGCAACACTGTTACAGTGTTATCATACAATATCATAAATATATATATATATATAACTCTCGGTACACACACGTAAAGTTGTAACTATTAAATAAAATGTAATGTTCTGAATAAATAAAAACCACCAGTCTTTTTTACCTATTGAATCTTATATATTATTATATATATATATAATAAAATGTCGTAATAAAACACATACTTTTCATTTTCATACAAATTGCTAATGTCATTGACCAAAAAGTGAACGTGGTCGATTTGCTCAGAACCTGGCGGATTGGAGGAAGACCCGGTAGGATTAGAAATTGCTGAAAAATAAAACACATTTTGCAAACGAATTTAAATAGTTTATTTACGACATGACTTAGCATACAGCCTTTTGATTAAGTATTTTTTTAATTGTTTAAATAAAATAGAAATTATAGTTTTACTGCGCAATTGTATTATAGTTTTATAATTGTAAAATAATCTAACAATTTTAGCACTCAATATAAAATTAAGAACAGAGTTTGAAAACCTTCTAAGAAACTTGTTAAAAATTATCTAATGAGACTCCACAAGATTTTTTTTAGAGCTTATCTTAGACATTATAACTTGTCAGCAAGAAGGTTTGTGAATATTAAATTAAATACTTATTGGGCCATCGTTTAGTGAGCTAGTTTTAGATAATTTTCATAATTATTGTGTGCAGAACTAGCCGCTTATGGTTAAATACTACGATTATAAGAAGACGATTATTTATGTAGACCCATATGAAATATATTACATACCTGGAGCTGACTTTAAAACGATGAGCGCCATAAAATAAACAAACATCATTGTGTTATACGTGTTAATATGGTTTATGAATTCTATACAAAACACTTAGAAAAAAACAATGCGCCGTCCACAGATATTGTAAACCAACCGATAAATATATTGTTTTATTGAAAATACCCCAGTATATTTTTTTTCGTACACTTAACAAAGTTTTTAAACAAATAATTGTGTACACAAGTGGTGTAAGTATTTTGTGCAACGCGGGAATGAATTTCATCATACAATAGCAAACTTAAAAATCGCGAAAATACGAATATAGGACACATTCAAGTAAAAAACATATTAACCAATTAAACAGAATTTCAATTTTTAGAAAATCAATGAAATGGAGAACGATGTATAAGCATACCTATTTTAAATATCTTCACTACTAGAAGAATGTAATACATACGATCCAATATCTTAAATGAGTTGGAAAAAAAAATTTGCTTAATTACAGACATTCGTGAACCAATACTGATATGTTTATAAAATAATATATAGACATAAGTTTTATGTGACCAGTAATTTGAATGTTATATATATTTATTAAGCAGAAAAAAATTATTGTAACATATCACAAAATGTAAAGAAAATCTAATAGATCCGTATAGAAGTAGGCCTTTGTGCGAGTGATGGCGCTATTGAGGACGTATGAGCTGCGGTATCGACCACTACTGTTCTGGGATAGCGTTAAAATCTACTCCAGCAGGTGCCAACAAAGCTATACGTTTAAACAGCTAAAAAAAACAATTTTTTAAACAGTTTAAAACAACACTATTAGATTATTTTTATTACTTTGTCATTTTCTGAAGTGCGAACGGCAGTAATACGTATATACACTATCGGTCTTGGATCAAATTTTAACAACTGCCACGATAGGGTCGACTCCTTAGATTTATCTACAATAATATCCCAATCTTCATCATTGACCGAAACATGAATAGTGTAACCACAGGCTCGGCTTTCGCCATGATTAAGCAGTATCCTATAAATGATTATAATACTCCTGATCTTATTGCCAGAGTCGAACATAAATTCTTTTTAAAAAAATTAAAAGTTGTATTCCAGGCGCCAACAATATAACAAACAAACAATAGAAACCAAAGTATATGTTAAATGTTATTTAAGCGATTACCTCATTGAACTAAGCATATACGGTTGGGCGAGTTGAATTTGTAAACAATCTGGTTGTCTGATGACTATGGCCCAATCCATAGATGTTAAAGTAACATTGTACTTTGGTGCTAATAGGATTTAAATCAGTACATTAGAAAAATATGTTTTTGTTTTATATTAATCAAGGAATGAGTGAGTGTTGTCCTTACCCACTAATCCGTTTTTGATTTCCACCCAGTGCAATTTTTCCGTATTGTACATGACTTTCAAAAAATTAAAACTCTTATTACTAGTATTATTGGTGCCAACAATACGGATGTACCTAACAAATCTTCGGATAATCCACAAACGTTGAATTGACCGACAATGATAATTTGAATGATCTATTACACGCAACCAATTGTGGCTATCCATCGATACTTGAATGTAATAAGTGTAAGATCTAAATAATCAAATAATTCGATCAAATGAACGGTCGTGTAATTTTTTATAAACAAAGTTATAAAAGGGCAATTATTTTTAAATAGTTCGATGCTTAAACAACATGTTTTTGATTATGGATAAAAAACCCGTATTTTATTTGAGAATAAATTTAATTCTTGAATTATCAGAATTATGATTATTGTATGATATTATTTGTGATAAAAATTTATTAATTCACATTTTTATTAAAATAAAATTATATTAAATCTTTGATTAGAAATATTGATAAGTGCACCATACTTTGCTTGTTTGTCGCTTAACTCCATTTCAATATAGTTTATTTTCGATGGATGATCTAACGTGATCATGGTACCGCCATCAATTTGGCAAAGCTTTTTGGGCGTGTCTTCAGCGAAATTCACATTAGGTTCTAAAGATTATAGTAGTTGGTACTAACATAATTTAATAAATAAAGGAATAGGCTTACCTAGTCGTCCTTGATCTTTAAATTCTTGTGGGAGGGACTCTATACTCAATATTATGACATCCAAAATACTCGAATCCGAACTAACCAGCTCTGATCGCCTAACTTCGGACAGTTCTTCATCATCCATAAGCTGATATCTGACAGCTGATAAAATTTTGGTTTTAGCTTCACCATCAATTTCGTCTTTTTTTTTTTTTATCCAGCGACAAACCGCACGGAATATATCCAAATCATTAGCATACACCATGTCACGATTGAGAATTAGAAGTAATGCTTCCTAAAAAAAAAATTATTCTGTCACCACTGGTTACCTAACACGAGAAATACTGATATTTAATATGCAAATATCTTTACGGGAGTCAAAGAAAGCGAATCTTCAGATTGCAATACGTCCAAAGCATGAATGTCGATAAAATTGAGTGATTCGATTTCGAGTTCTTTGATTTGATAGTAAAGTGCCACAACAAACAACGAACTTGCATTGTGTTCATCGATTTTACTCAGTAAATACTCGGACAGTGAAAATTGTAAGTTTGAAAAACGATATACATTCGAGAGAATTAATAATTCCACAATAACTTTACTCTAAAAATTTTAAAAAAACATGTGTATTTGGACAATTGTTTTCTGAATAATATTTTTTTTCTTCAATTTAACACATAAATTACAACCGATTGACCGAACGATCCTTAAAAAAACGCACAACCTGAAAAATGGTACTTTTTTGGTCTTTAAATACCGGTCATTTAAGTCGACTTTAATTTACCTCTAGAGTACTTAAATCCACTCTACCAGAATATATATATTTAAGAAGAACATTGACTGAGGTTGCTGATCCTTCTTTTATTGGCACCTCCTTTAGACGGGAATCTTTATGATCTCCAAACAGCAATGCGCTAAAAAATATACACAATATAAGTACAAAAATGCATTATATTCGCTATTTAAAAAAATAATATTGACAAATTTGTATGTGTTGTGCTTATTAGGGTATTAATACTAAGAGAATACTATACAAATTGATAAGCTTTTATTACCTGAAATAATCACTGCGTGATGCTAACACACTACGATGGGCATGAAATCGTTTTTCATCTACAACTAAAATAACATCAGAATACCTAAAATAAATATTAAATTAGATAATTAATATACTTATGAATACTAAACATGAATATTGATGAATATCCTATCTTTACAAATTATACAGAGCAGTTAAAAAAAAAAAAGTTTTGTTAAAAACCGGTTTTGTTTTTTTGTATATTTAATATATCATTTTGATAAAGTATATGTATTTGTTATCCTTATTGAAGGTAGTGTTTCAGCGATAGCTGTTTAAGTATAATCAATGATGTTGATGTTAGAAGTCATTATTTGTGTCTAGCGAGTGAATACAGAAATCTTCCCTTTAATTTTATTGGGGAACCGTCACTAAAATTATAAAATGTCATATACATATTGATCACTATGTCCAACCCATAACAGACGCTTCAAGATTAATAACTTTTTCTTTTTATAATCAACTAATTGAATAACTAAACAATATGTGCAAATCTAAAGTAATAAAAAAGGTAACGATTCCTATAGAATTAGTTAATTCACTTGTCCTTGTAACTCTACTGAAAATAACGATGCCATTAGATGATAGTTGCAGTAAGCAAACTAATTATTCAAATTCTCCTATAGCTGTTCTTAAACAGCATGAGGTAGTAAAACAGACATGATTAGAAAATAGTAAAACTTAAGAAATATTTATTTATATTAATTGTTAATAAGATTTATGTTTTGAGTATTTGTATCTTTTTTATTTACTAGATTTTATTCTTTTTTTTTTTAGAGGGTATGTTATAGCAGGCAACACTGTTACAGTGTTATCATACAATATCATATATTGTGAAATAACTCTCGGCACACATACGTAAAGTTGTAACTATTAAATAAAATGTAATGTTCTGAATAAATAAAAACCACCAGTCTTTTTTACCTATTGAATCTTATATATTATTATATATATATATATTATAAAATGCCGTAATATAACACATACTTTTCATTTTCATACAAATTGCTAATGTCGTTGACCAAAGAGGGAACGTGATCGATTTGCTCAGAACCGGGTGGATTAGAGGAAGACGATGCATAACCGGTAGGATTAGAAAATGCTAAAAAATAAAACACATTTTGCAAACGAATTTAAATAGTTTATTTACGACATGACTTAGCATCCAGCCGTTTGGTTAAGCATTTTTAAAATTTGTTAAAAATAAAAATTATAGTTTGGGACAGAGTTTGGAAACCTTACTATAAACTTGTTAAGCAATATCTAACTACGATAATTATCATAATTATTGTGTTCAGAACTTGCCGCTTAAGATGAAATACTTCGATTATAAGAAGACAATTATTTATGTAGACGGATATGAAATATTCTACATACCTGGAGCTGACCTTAAAACGATGAGCGCAATAAAATAAACAAACGTCATTGTGTTATACGTGTTAAAATGGTTTATAAGTTCTATACAAAACACTTAGAAAAAAACAATGGGCCGTCCACAGATATTGTAAGCCAACCGATATAGATATATATTGTTTTAATGAAAATACCCCAGTATATTTTTTTTTCGTACACTTAACAAAGTTTTTAAACAATCAATTGTGTACACAACTGGTGTACCTACGTATTTTGTGTAACACGGGAATGATTTTTATTGTACAATAGCAAACTTTTGGCAAAAATATGAATACAGGACGAATAAAGAAAAAAAAATGTAATTAACACCTAAAAATGAGTATCAAAACTTAATAGTATCATTCTGAATAGATCATATAAATTATAAATGCATATTATAATATGATATCAAATTCAACTCATATATTATCGACATCGGCTGATAATGTTGGCCGCCGTGAGCTTGACAGTTAGTTGAATAATAACTTGTTTAATTGCAGCCGCTAACTTTAAGTACAGTTAAAACTTTTTTTAATATTACAGACTTCCGAATAGCTTTATGCTTTCATAGGAAATCACTGGAAGAACTGAAGCACGTAAACGTAAGTGTGGTTATACTACTACCAGCGTGAAATAAAAATATTATCAAATTGCTAGATCACTTGCAAAGTCCTTTACCTGTGAAAATTCCGTCAAAATCGGTTCAGCGCGTAAAATTAAATAGAAATTAGTTTATTAATTTATATGGAAAATTTGTTTTCAATTGAAAGAAGGATAATGTGATTTAAAGTTCTCGGGGTGCTTACTACTAAACAGAAAATACTTAAAAAAAAGTTAATTCTGTTTTAGTAAGAGACAAAACCACAAAGAAGTGATTTTTACAAATTAATAAAATACACTCAACGTCAAATTACCATATTGTTCGGTTTTTGGAAGGGATGTTAACATTTGTGCCAATTTTTTAAATTAAAGTTCCTACTGTGAGGTACCAGAACAATATGCAAAATAGTGTCATTTCCAAAAAAGTTATTAATAATTTCTTAAGACAATCGCTTTCCAGAAGAATTAAGAATAATATACAATAATAATAAGAATAATGATTTAAGATAAATGAGTTATTAGAGTTTTATGAGCATTCATGGCCGCTGGACCGTGTTGTTCTGCTTGCCGACGGGTGTGGTGGTGCCAGAGAAAAGCTGTATTTAAATTTATGTGTTAATTTATTGTTATACTTTTCGATATATATCTTTTTTTGTGTTAATCTATAATATAAACGTCATGTTTTGTTAGAATCCACCGTGTTTTAAGTCCTGATCCGTGGTGAAACATTTGGTTGCAAGTAGCGTGGTTTTCGGGACCTGTGGAGGCCGAGTCAGTCAAAGAAGGATCGGTAAGGTGTGATTTTAATTATTATTTGCCTTAAATATTCATATGGTTTGGCTTGGGTAATATAGCGTAGACGTTTGTATTATCTAGTTAATTATGATGGTTCTAACTTCAGTTAAATAGGTGTAAACATGAAGATAGGCCTTGGTCCTACCTTCTAGTTTTCCGCTAAAATCTAAGCGTCTTAATTTATATTAACAATGTAACTTTCTAATTTTCTGTCAGAGCTTCATCAAACATCATTTTAAAACTTAAATAGTAACTTACATATTTAATTCGTGAAGTGCGGTAATGTTATAAAATATTTCTCCTCCCCTCTGTCATATTTATTGCTCTTTCAACAACTTTTAAGCAAAATATCATTCATTTTAAAAGTTTTTACAATATTTATATGTAAATACCACAATAAACGATGTTTATATGTATGCCACCTGAGTTTCAAGAGTAGATAGCACCTTGTAAAATTCATGAAGTTCGTGCACCTAGAGGAACATCGTACAAAGGCGTAGTATCGGTTCAATTTTGTCTTGGGTTGCAGAAACCGAAAATACTGATAGTCGATGTAGATATGGATAGTTAGTTTAAATTTTCAATATTAAGACCGCGAAGCATTTGTGGTAATTGTGTAGTAATAATAATGAAACTTCAGATTTTTTTATAATGGTTTTCTCTTAATTTATTTTTATTTTTATTAAATTCACAATAGTTGGGTTGTGCCTTTTTTAGAAACTTGATTAGGATAAATTACCTCGATCAAAAGAATTTTTACAGATGAGATGTCTTTACACATGCCAATTCATTAGTATGAAGGAAATTATAGTGTTATCAAAGTTAGCTCATTGTTGTGTTCCTTTTGTTATACTCGATCGAGTCCACGCTTTCACTAACACGTGACCTTATACGGTACGTAACCCAGTAGTTTTTTAAAAAAATATATAATATTATTAAATAAAATGAAATGTATGTATTTTTTTCAGTTCTGGCCAATGGCAACTACCCCAGCCCCGGCCACTACAGACAACCATATATGAGCTCATACAATGTGGTTGGATACATCATGGAAACTAACTAGTTTGAATTTTCAATGTAAAGAACGTAAAGCATATTTTGTGGTAATTGTGTCGCAATAGTGTTGAAATTACATTTATAAAGGATTTATCCTAATTTATTTTAACTTTAATTAAATTCATACTAGTATTCACAATAGTTGGTCTGTGCCATTTTCGGTAACTTGATTCGGGTAAATTACCTCGATCAAAAAATTTTTTATAGATGAGATGACACATGGCAATTCTTTAGAAAAATTCATTAGTATCGAGGCATTTATATTGTTATTAAAGCTAGCACATTATTGTGTCACTTTTGTTTTACTCAATCCAGTCTTTGCTTTGACTTAACGCGTTTTAAAACCGTGTACTGACAGCATGTCTGTTAACATACTTGATCAAGGACAGGTTTACTTGGTTTGCTTTAAGTTATAATCAAAATCATTTTTTAATTAGCGCGTACTGGTTGGTATATCTTCCAATATACCTGGCACAGTACTACCAGATTTTTATAATTTTTTTTTGCGGTCGAAAAACACTAAAAATGTATGTAGCAATATATTATGTGATTTTTGTCTAGTCTCAGAATTATGTCACATAAATATATATGTATTGTATACTCTGTATGTTACTTTTAATATAAATTGGCTGGGTCACAGCTAGCAAAAAGTCCTGCAGGATTTTTTACATAGACATAATATTATCATTTTTATGTCTATGATTTTTCGATTGATTTCATTTAAAATGAAATTGTTTGCTTTAGTAAGTATAGAGGTTCATTTTGTCTAATTATTTTGGCACTAAACAAAGCACGAGTTATTCGTATTTTGGAAGAAAATGTAATATTGTTTTTATTAAATTTTAGGCGGTGGAAATGTAGTAAAACATTTAAACAACTTTTTTAAGCGGTCATCACAGCAGCTGGAACAATTAGTTGTATAATGTAAAATATGTGAAAAATAATTTTATTTGACGAGTAAAGACGTCAATTGATTGGAATATATGACAACATATTTTCTTGTTGAAGATTTATGTTAAAGAAAACTATAATAAATTCTAGGCCCCCTAGTGTTCTCATTAAATGTTTTCTTTGGCAATACTTAACTCCGGCAAAAAAACTGCTTGCGCATTGCTTCTCCCCGAATATTATTACAATAATTAAATACTTACTAGTGAACAAGT